TCTCGGGACAGAGTCCATGTATGCAGGTATCCTCTCGAAAGACAAAGACCACCAACACATATTTCTCCCTCGTAAGAAATATCACTATCTTGAATAACTACAATTTCACAATTGGAAATCGGCAAGCCAATGGGAACACTAGCAATCTTCTCGGTCATCAAAAGTTTTGGCAACCTTCTACAGTCGAAGTACGTGCAGTCCCCTGATACCTAATGGTAAAAGGAAGGTCAGCTAGCTGCAATGAAATGCAAAGATACGCTGCTGTAGCAGCTAAATTCTAAAGAAATAACTGAGATTCGACCACCGTAAAAAAATCAAGTTAGCTTCAAGAAATGGAAGAACCAGAACTAAAAGTCTTCAGTCTACTAACATATTTCCACCCAAAGAAACTGCTATGCAGATTGCAATTGTTTTCATTTTTTTTGTGAAATTAAATGCCACAATTTGCTACTATGAAATGCATTGATGAGCTTTATCCAAAGCAATAATTTCGTAAAAATTGAACCAGATAATAGTAGTTTCATGGCTGAAGCATTGTTTCAAGAATAGGATTGGTTCAGCCACTTAACTATCCACTAGCCAAGTATAAAATTTTTCGAAAAAGGAAATTACCCTTGAATATAAAACTCTTACCTCTGTACTTCCATATAGATTCAGAATACAAGTACGCGGAAGTAGGTTCTGAAGCGTACTCCACAAACTTAAGGGAAAGACTTCACCACTCAGAATAACCAGTTTCAGGGAATTTTGAAGCTTCTTGTGGCCATTATTTTGTAAAGTAGGAAGTACAGCTCTGATCATTGAAGGAACAGTTATGAGCCTGCTGATAGTATAAGCCTGAAAAGATAAATAAATCTTAGTCCTCATTAATCGAATTGAAATTCCAAGTAATAAAATGAAAAATACAGTTTCCTTCTAATGATAGGAAGCTTCACCAACAAGGATAACAGAGAACTACATCCACCGCTCCCGCTTCAGGAATAAGGTGAGAAAGCAGGAAAAAAGGATGTATTGAAATTCTGCATGATGTTGTTGATTTGTGAGAAGCCTAATCTAGAATAAACAAAACATCCAAGAGAACTATCTACAAAAAAATTCTGACTTGAACAAAGACTAGCTTCAGAAGAGGAAATGGCAAATGTAAATATGCACCCTACACAATTATTTCAGAGGCGCTTTTCGACGCTGCTTCTAGTTTGATTCATGAAGGACTACCACTATTTTAGGGCAGTCCATTAAATAGCAGGTGATTTTAGTTTTATTCTATTACATTTTGTAGCACAAATGCAGAGACAAAGTACATGTGACAAGTTATTCAAATTTCAAGCCAGATTTTCAGCTGGAAGAGAGTTGTGATCTTGAATAAGGTAAAGCATAAACTACCATCATGTAACATGACTTCCAACGGATAAATAAAACTTAGATAAAATAGATATGAGAGAGTTGTTTGCATTGTCTATGGACATTTTTCGTTCACAAATTCCTACCATAAGCATGGTCCTCCAAGAAAAAAAGACTAGTCAAGATAATTAAACCCTGTTTACATATTTGAACATCAAACAGAAAAGTGACTGGACAGGGAAGAAGAATGTAAACTGTCATTAACGGACACCACTAACGAAAGTGTTAGGACAAATGGAAAGTACCACGACACTCAATAGTATCATTAACAAGTTATTTGAAGCAATTTATGAGAATATGGAAAAGGCTTGGACAGTAATGGATAAAAAAAATGGAAAAAGTACAGGCAACCTTCTTGAACAAACCATTCAAGATCATCTATGAAGCTATCATATAGAACTACTTTGACTGCTACCAGAAAAAAAAATTCAAACTAACATAATTACAAAGGAGGCATTACACGTGCAAAAGATGGTTCTGTTTCTTATGAAATGAAGAAAATTGAACTCTTACCTCTAAAAAATAAATGATGGAGAACATATTCTCTCTCATAGTTGTAAACGGTGGAATTACTAATGGAGTAGAAGTAAGAATAGCACAAATAAATTCCTGCAAATGATCAACAAAGCCAATTGAAGTCTTGAAAGCCAATCGCTCCTCCCCCACTATAGGGTAAACTTCTTGCATCCACAAGAAGCGATTTAAAAGTCCTTCAGAAAGCAAGGGATACCCCAGTCAGATTCTTTTAGAAAAAAAAATACAATTATCTCTGCATGGAAAGAGAATAGAAAAAAAATACAAATTATAGCCAAATTTTTATAATAGCAGAAAACAATCGGTTCTGTGTTAATTATTTACTGAAGTTCAGTGGAAGACCATAGAAATAACAATTACTAGGAAATAAAACAATCATAGAACTAGTTGACCGAAGCTACAAATCAAGAATATACAAATTCATAAAGCACAAAATAACCATGAGACCACTTTGGCAGTAGAACATATATTACTAAGCACCAGACATTTTATTCTAAAGAGACATTCAGATACACTGTGAAAAATTTCATGGAAATTCCAAATAGATTAAAAACACACCACATGAGACAATGGCTGCACTTAGTAGATCTCTTCAACAAAAAGCAATTGTTAAGCAGAAAAAATAGATGAGGAAAGAGAAAATAGAGTTAAAATTAATATCGATACAAGCACATGCATCAAAGTTTTCACAGATTATAATCTAAAAGCATTCACAAAATTAAATCCAAATTGAAAAAAACTCTCATGTAATTACGAAAACCAAAATCTCCTGACCTTGCTCAGTGCCACATACTCCTTTTGGCTTCCCAGTAGATCCAGAAGTGTACATCAGATAACAAAATGCTCTGCATCTCTCTACCTCGCAAGGCCAAAGAAAGCTCGAATGACCACTTTCCTCGCTAGAACTTTCTTCCATAGAAAAGAACAAGATAGGACAGCCACTTCTTTCCACGAGCCAATGCGATCTCTCGAGCGGCTGACATCCAACTTCATTGAAAGAAGATCCACAAGCAATAACAAGACTGGCATTTGAAGAGGAAACTATAGATAACATCCTATCTTTCGGCCATGAAGGATCTAGAGGTAAAAAGGCTTCTCCACACCTCATGACAGAAAGCACACTGATAATATATTCAACTGAAGGAGGCATATATATTGCCAATACTTTCGGCATGTATACATCAGAACCAAAAGATACATCTTCCCTACCAACCTCGCCGCAAGGTTTATCTGTAAAATTGTAAAACATGATTACATTTCCTTCACACTACTAAATTTATACATAAAAAGTTCACATTTTGTTAGAAAAAGAAATATAAGTACAGGAGAAAAATTCCCAAAAAAAAAAAATAATCAGGGAAACTAGAAAAGAGGCAGTGCTTTCTTCAAATTCCAAAATCATAACAGGGTAACAATTTCAAAAAAAGATGACGAATTGTAAAGAGAACCCTCCAAGAAAAGAATCAGATCAAGTCAAAACTGAAGAATCGCTTCAAAGAGAATGCGGAAACAGAACAAGACGAACTAATTTGATATTTGCTCCCCAAATTAACATAACGTTCCATAAAATCCAAGGAACAAGGGAAACAACGGAACCAGGCACAGTCGAAGTCACTGACCTGGAAACCGTGGTTCGGTGAAGTAAGGATCATTTGCACCACCCCCGTCGAGAATTCGCCGGAGACGAGAGCTCAGGGAATCGACCGCAGACAAAACCTGGGCGAACGTGAAACACTTGTCTCCTTCGTACACCGGCGGAGAACACGAAAGAGACGCCACCGGCGAAGGAGAAGGAGAAGCATCGGTGGATTCCGACCTAATCGTCGCGGCCCAACCCGAGGCGTGAATCACAGCAACTTTTTCAGGGTAATTGGAGGCAGCGTTGAAGAACTCGTGCGATATGCAACAATGGCTTCGCTTCTCCCGCCGGTGACTTGAGGAGTCTTCAGGTATCATTCTCCGGTGGTTCGTATTCGACTCGGACGGGAAATTGATCCGTTATGACTCTTGCTCACACACTTGCATATATATATATATATCGATATTGTTTTTAATATATTACAAATGAATTCTCAACGAAAGCTCGAACTAATAATAATATAAGTTTTTTTTTGTTAATCAATAATAATATAAGTTTAACCTTTCAATATAATTATAAATATTTAAAATTATAACATGTTAAAGATAATAAAAATACTAAGGATCCTCTAAATTTTATATTGAAATGTTATTTCATTAAATAAAAATATCATGGTATTTACATATTAAATCAATGACATTTAATGGATGTGACGACAATAATTAACACTTAATCAATTTGTATTTACGTATTAAATCAATGACATTTAATGGATGCGACGACAATAATTAACACTTAATCAATTTTTATTTATAAAAGATATATATATATAAACCAAATTCTAAAAAAAAACTAAAAATAAAAAATATTTGGAAACTAAATATTTGTATCAGTAAAAACTGAATACAAACCAAACTCAAATCAAATTCGAATAAAATAGAATAATTATAATTTTTTTTTTAAAATCTGTATTACCTAGTCCGAATATGGTTTGGAATTTTAAGAATTGCTATATGAATTTTTGAAATTTCTACTAAAATACAATAATTTTACAAATATTGTCATAAAATTACATATAATTTTGGAGAATTTTTTCATGCTTACTATAAATCTTTAAATGGTTATAATTTTTAAGAAAATTCTATAAAAGACAATCAACTAATCAATTTTTTACCAAATTAATACATCACCATTAATTTTAGCAATAATAATATACTGTATTAAATCTCTAAATTTAATGATTTTATTTAAAATTGTAGCATACTTACACCTTAAACAATAATCTTTTATTTTTTAAATTAAAACCAATCAGATTTTTCTGTTTAATTGTTATTTATTTATTGCTGAATTTCGATTAGATATAATTTATATTGTTGATTATATTTTTATTTTAAAATTTGAGTCTACTCTATTAATTTATAAATATCGGTTTTAATTAAAATTTTACATCAAAGATATTAAAGGGAATGCCATCTCTTTTTTTTTGGGTACATTGCAATAGGGAAGAAAGAAAAAACAAGATCAGGAAGAACAAAATCACCGATGCATCTTCCTCAGACCGGAGAACAAAAATTTCACTCTCTTCAACCTTTCTCTCTCTAGAATTCTCTCTCTCTCGATCGATTCCTCTCCGGGTAATTCATTGATCTTCTCGTACACTTGGCTCTGGTGCTTGCATCATCCGATTTCATCTTGTTCTCCGAATATCAGAGTTGAAATTCTCGTCTTCTTCTGCTTCTGGGTCTTCGTCTGACGGCGTAAAGCTCGATCCTTTTGATACATTCACTGTTGGATAATCGATGGTCCGATGGATCTGTTTAGGGTTTCGAGTGCTCTGACTTGGGTTTGATTGGATGAGAAAAGGGGTATGGGACTAGAATCTATCGGGCAGTGACGTTGATAATCGGAAAACTACAGATTTCTGGGTCGCAAGGGACAATTCGAGTGTTGATCGATCGTTTCCATTTGCTTTGTTTCTGTTCTGTGTGATTCGTTGTGTTTTGCGTGGATGAGAGGGTTGGGCATGGTCAATTGAGGTCTTGGTGCTAAGATTGTGTCGTTTGGATCAATGGACGAGGTCGGTTCCAGTGACGGAGCTGCGTCTCGAGCCCGTGAAATGGGTTCTCAAGGAGCATCGACGCCATGGGAGCCGATGCAGCTGGTTTTCAGGCGTTATGTTTCACAGAGAGAGCCCGTGAGCTTACCTCAGCCATTGCGTGTTGCTGTTAAGAAGCCTGTAAGTGATGCTTTATTTGCTCTCATCTTTTCCTGGGAATTCTCATACTTTCTGCTCGAATTGCTAGTGGGAGTGGCTTCTTTCATCTTTGAACGCATCAAAGAACTAAGTTTTGTCGCTTGACCGTCATCATATGTATAATGCTATCCGCTTGTTTGATTTCGTTGTGAAAACGTCTCTTAAGTAGGTGTGTTTGTTAGTTAACCACACCTGCAATTGAACTTTTATTTGTGAAAAAGGAATCCATCTTTTTACAAGCTTGGAAGCTGCAAGGCAGCTCTGGGTTCGGTATGTTAGGAAGTGGCTGAGAAATTTCTGCTATAAAAATGGTTTTTGAAGGTATTTCTGTACTCGTATGTCAATTAAAGTTACATTACATCATGGGTTGGTACTTTGCAATAGATTGCAAATGTCTTAGGCATGAGGATAATAGGATATGCTTGGTATTCTGGCTAGGACGGTTGGAAGCTATTGATCGTATGTAAAATTGGCCGTTCAAAATGTTTTCAGAACCTTAATGCTGTCTTCGAAAATGACGAGATCCCAGTTCCTATTGCTCTACGTAGTTTGTATGTCTTTATGCTAAATGTAGGTCACACAGTATTTCAAGTCCAGATATTGCCTTGTGTGCTGTCTTTTTCTTTTTATTCCAAATCGCACATTATCTTGGACTTGAGGCACAATTCTTTGTTTTGTCTCAATCTTTTGATAAATGATTGATCTTCATCACTATGCTTTGCCTATAGATCACCTACCCTAGATTGGGTTAGAGTTTTGGATTGTTCCATTATACCTGTGGGTTATCCAGTCAGAAGGAACCTATGTGAATTGATCCAAAACTGTGAGACATTCCTTTGTTATTGGGTTCATAAGAATCCCAAGAAGGATGGTTGGATGTGGAAGGCCCATCGCATCTTAGGTATGATAACTGGGAACGTGATATTTTTTATCCTCGTATAATGTTAGATATTTCTTAGTGTTTTTATCTAAATTTATATGGTGTGCTCAAGGAGCATAGTCTTAAACATGTCTTTGTTTTGATACTAGACTCTCGAAATACATATACAGTAGTGAGAAGTGGTGAAACGGCTGCATGTATATGAGCTAGAATAGCGAGGCAGTTGAGTAGTGCTGCTTCAAGTGTGGACTGATAGTTGGGTTTGCATTTGATTGGACCTTGTTCTTCTTGAATAGTTGATATTGTATGAGGAATTGACAAGTGGCTTTGTTGGACTTCCCTAACCGGTAACCGCTGTTGGTTGACATTAACATGGCCTCCCTAGACTGTTGTGGCGTTGCCTCGAATTAGTAAATCGTATTCCTTTTTACTGATAGGTCTGTGGTATAATTATTCTAGAGAGTGTAAATTGGCTTCGCTCTGCTGTCAATGGTGGGCAAAGTTTCGGAACCACTTGGCCTATAAATGGTTTGTTCTTCTTGTCAAGGCATTAAGCTAGGTTATTCTTATCTGTTTTTATTTATCTACGTCCTTATCTTGTATTGCATTGTGGTTGAAACTTATCTAGAATATTAAGTTTATATCCACAATGTACATGAGGCTGAAAACAGTGATGACCCTTTTCTCTGTCGCAATGCTTGTGATAGCAAAATTTACCTCTGATGAGTTTTCTGTGTGCAGTTAGTGGTCAGACTAACAAGGGACATAGTCGAGACATACAAAATATGCAATCCACAGTTCAAATATTCAGGAGAATTCAATCCCAAACGATACTTGACTAGCCCATCAGTTGGTGTGCTCAATGACGGTTTTGATAACTCCAAGTCAGATCTAATCCTGGCTGTGAACGATGTCTTGATCAGTTCAGATTCACGACAGAGGTTTGCTAGTCATGTTACCTTTGAACAGTCTTTTTTATTGATGTTTCCCCTCCTCCTCTTGCTGCATTGTTGGAAGCTTACTATTCAAGAATTCTACCCATTTGGGGAAGAAGCGAATTTAATTAGCTTCTTTTTGGTTGCTGCTAGATACATTGTCAAAGATCTTCTTGGGCACGGGACTTTTGGACAGGTCGTGAAATGTTGGGTTCCGGCAACGAATGGCTACGTTGCCGTGAAAATAATTAAAAACCAGCCTGCATACTATCAGCAGGCACTGGTTGAAGTATCGATATTGACATCGGTATTTAATTCTTCTTTGGTTGAATGTTCTTCATTTATATTCTTACTGAAATATATGTGATCATTTCTAATCTCTTGCTTGTCTCTGTAGTTAAACAAGAAATATGATCCAGAGGATAAGAATCATATTGTTCGCATATATGACTACTTCTTACATCAACGCCATTTATGCATATGTTTCGAACTGCTCGACATGAATCTGTAAGTTATATGACTCCCTTATGTCTTCTCCATATGTGTAAAATATTTCTTCCCTTTGATTTCTTTCTACAAATGCACAATTATTCTCTTCTTTGGTTAGTAATTTATTGTTTCTCAGGTATGAGCTTATAAAGATAAATCAATTTAGAGGTTTATCATTAAGCATTGTCCAGCTCTTCTCTAAGCAGGTATTTAGCTTTTCTCAAGAGCTGCACATTTGCCGTTTTATCTATTTTTACTGTCTTACTTTTATGTTTTTACTGGCTCCTTTCGGCATCTTATAGATTTTACGTGGTTTGGCTCTCTTGAAAGATGCTGGTATAATTCACTGTGATCTTAAGCCAGAGAATATTCTTCTATGCGCCAGGTGCACTTTCCAGCATGATTTTTATACGCTGAACTGGAATTGATACCTTCATTCCTTGACTTCTTTGATGTTGAAATTTATATGTTGAATGTAACAGTGTGAAGCCAGCTGAAATCAAGATAATTGACTTTGGATCAGCATGCATGGAAGATAGGACTGTTTATTCTTATATTCAGGTTTCTTCTGTCTTAGTTTTACCTGTACTACTACTTGTCTTTCCATTCCCTCACGTAAAACCTCGCAATACCTGAGCTGGCTGATGATGTCTTCTGCAGAGTCGTTATTACCGATCGCCTGAAGTTTTACTTGGATACCAGTATCTTTTACAGTGCAGTTATCTTTCTTTCTCACTCTTGTTAGTTGATTTCAACTGCTACCATCTTTCATCTACATATTGCAGCAAACCCACTCTTTTATACATCAGTTCTCTTTGATGGTAAAAATATAACATGTTCTCGTAAATAGGTTTTGGTACTGAAATATCTCAAGGATTATAGAGTTGTCTCTCTAGATGTCTTAATGTGCTTCAGCATTATGGCATCATTTATTTTTTGCTGGAACTCCACTTTGACTATCTTGCAAACACTTTTAACTTTGTTGCTATGATATCAACAGTACTCAAGTTTGTTTCCTGCCTACATTTTTGAAAGCCAATAAATAACCCTAATCTAAGTTCTTGCCTTTTGCTTCCTTGGGGTCTCTGTATTCGTATACGAACTTGAAGACAAATGTTGATGCTTAACAACTTTATAGATATACTACTGCCATTGACATGTGGTCTTTTGGCTGCATTGTTGCTGAGTTGTTCCTTGGATTGCCTTTGTTCCCCGGAGCTTCAGAATTTGATCTGTTGAGGCGAATGATCGAAATCCTTGGGTATGATCCTTTTCTTCCTTGGAGTTGGTAAATGAGTGTGAAGGATTGTGACTTCTTTGAGTGTATTATAATTTTTGTTTTCTTTGTTGCTTTTTTTTTTTCCATACCGCATGATGAATTTTGTAGTCTTCCACTGGCCTACTCTTGGAAGTTCTGATTTGAAGTTATATTTTGTAGTAGTTGGGAAAATCATGTGAAAAATTAGTTAACAAGGTTCGACTAAGTTACAATTATTGATTGATGTGGTTTGCAAATCTTGCTCTTGCATGTTCATTTTGCAGCGAATTTGCTGTTAGACTTTATATAAACAAATATGTTTGCATTGGGTTGGTGACAAAAGAAATATAACCATAATAAAGACAAATCATGAATGGTCTTTGTGCTCCCTCTGGACATTAGGGTTTGGTTCTTACCTATTCCTGGGCTATGTATTATGAAGTTGCATTCTTGCACCTTAATCTTTCTACTATGTTATCTTGTTGATATTTTCTTTTGGTTTTTAGTCTTCTCTGGAGCTTAGATGGATTTTCTGTCTCTGCTGTGGTGTACCACTTGTGTCGATTTCCAAATTTCTCTGCAACTCCATTTTAGTTTCTTGACATACACTTGGCTATATGTCCGGTTGTCCCTTTAAGCACAAATTTCTACGTTCATCGCTATGAGGACCCTTTTCTTCTTTTTGTTTTCTTTTTTTCCTTCTGCTAAAATCGTATAACGACTTTATGATTGGCATTTTATTTTCAGTGAACAGCCACCTGATTATGTGCTCAAGGAAGCAAAAAATATGAATAAGTTTTTCAAATGTGTTGGGAGTGTCCACAATCTAGAGAATGGTGAAATTTCTGGGGGCTTCAAAAGTACTTATATGGCATTGACTGAAGAAGAGTTTGAAACTGTAAGTAAAGCTGAATCTACCTCGAAGTAAAAAAAAACAGAATTGGGATGGAGAAAGAGAGGACATACAAAGGACAAGTAAAAACAAACTAACAGGATGAAATAAATCAGTGACTGAACGAACGTAAAGGTTTCATGAAGTGACTTAGCAAACAGAGAGGTTTCATAAAGATATATTTTCTCTTTTTGCTAAATCATCTTCTGGTGCCATATAGTTTTGATCTTGTTGTCAAAGCTTTTTCTTTGTCTAAACTCTTTGCTTTTCTTTTCTGCTAAATTTACAGAGAGAGAAGAAAAAACCAGCAATTGGTAAAGAGTACTTCAACCATAAAAACCTTGAAGCAATTGTTAAAAGCTATCCTTACAGAAAAAACTTGCCTGAAGAAGATATCATTAAAGGTAAACTCTGGTCTATATAATGTGCTTATTTTTGCATGTACCATGATCGTGCCTGTTTCTATGGATGCACTAATGTTTCCTGAACTATCCCAGAAACTCAAATCCGATTAGCTTTGATTGATTTTCTGAGAGGACTTGTCGAATTTGATCCTGCAAAACGTTGGTCACCTTTTCAGGTACAAACCTACTTGTTTAGGCTTGTTGAATTTTTATCAATTTTTTAGGCTTGATGTTTTTCCAGTGAGTCATAATGGAAATAACAATCAATTTTATGTTTGTTTAGGCATCAAAACACCCTTTTGTCACTGGAGAACCTTTTACATGCCCTTACAAACCTCCACCGGAGACACCTCGTGTGGTAAGTCTAGTGAAATTTTCCCGATCTTAATTATGAGAAACCAATTTTGTAGATTCATTTCCTCTACATTTTTTTTGTTCCAATTTGTGCTGAATGCAAGTGCTAATGCTAATTTCTAGCCGAGGGAGTACGTGAAGCACTGATATATTCTTTGCTGTGACACGATTTGTGTGTAAACTGGACCAGTTCCCTCTATTACAGATTCCCTTATTTTCTTTTTCTCCATTTGCTATGTAGCATGTTGCCCAAAATATCAGAGTGGACCATCACCCAGGCGGGGGACACTGGTTTGCTGCTGGTCTCTCTCCTCATGTATGGTTCTACCAGTTTGATTAAGTGTATATAATCTGGATCCTTAAGGTTGTTTTGCTCCTCTTGTTAAAAGATGATTACTTAACAGGTTTCAGGAATACCCAGAGTCTCCATGCATAATAGTCCTCATTTTCAGATGATGCCATATTCACAAGCCAATAGTTATGGCAGTATCGGAAGCTATGGTAGCTATAATGATGGTACTAGACTGGAAGGTAGTTACGGGAGCTATGGAGAGAGTGGCAACATGTTTGTATATTATTCTCCTGTTAGTCATTCTGGCTTAAATATCCAAAACAGAGGTGGCATCTCAATGCTTGGAAGTAGTCCTGATGCTAGAAAGAGGATTATGCAGTACCAGCATGGAAGTGGCCTTGGGATAAGTCCATCCGCTGGAAATTTTGCACCACTTCCCCTTGGCACTAGTCCCTCGCAATTCACTCCACCGAGTTCAAACAATCAGTTCTTAGCTGGTTCTCCTGGTCATTATGGCCCTACATCTCCTGTAAGAGGCAGTTGTCATGGGTCCCCTTTAGGGAAGATGGCTGCATTTAGCCAATTTAACAGAAGAAAAAGTTCAGGACATTCTGGAAATTTCCAGTCTCAGGATTCCTCATTGTCACAAACTCAAGGGCAAGGGATGGATAATTCCAAACAGAGTGAAGGAAATACTATGACAGTCGGTTCACCTTCTCACCTACAGTTGAACTCTAGCTCTAGAAACCGAACACAGGCACAAGGAAGCGCTACATTAAGTCCTGGCTACTCCGCTCAAAACACAGCCAGCTCGAAACTTGGGTCCAGTGTATATGTTCCGTCCAGCATTGGACCTTCTCATGAAGACCCAGATGGTGGTGGCCTGTCAGTACCTGATCCCAGAGATTGGGACCCTACTTACAGGCAAGTAAATGATGAATTCCTTTAGTTTGCAGATTAAAGTATTAAAGTTTTAGTCTTCAAGGATATGTGTTAACAAATGCAATTTAACAGGAGTGTATAAAATATGGGTAATATCCATTCTGCTCCCTAAGGTTTTCTCTTCTGACCCTACCCTACTACATTAGTTTGTGTCGTAGTCTCTGTTCACTGGTCTCTGGTTATTGGTCTCTTTTGTTATAAGTGCTAGCAAGTTTCTGTGAACATTAACCTAGATAGCCAGCTGTTTAAGCTCCATTTTTCATGCCTTTAAACATCATCATAATTTAAATTATTTCAAGATTGCTCAAGGCTCCACGAAAAATTACATATAGAACCAATTAGGTTACATTCCACTACGTCTGGATTCAAAGTCTTGTTAATTTGTTCAAGGCCACGCAAGAAGTGACATCTAGGGTCATTCCTCATTACCTCTTGTCATGCCCTTTTTCCGTTGAACTCTAGTAGAAGTGTCATTGACCTGGTTCATTTGGTGGATCACTGTTGCATGAAGATGTTTCTTTGTCCAAAAATGTATTTTCAAATATACAGGTTTCACTCTTTCACGAGTCCTTGAATTTGAAATTCTAAAGCGCATCTTTTGTGTTACCTTTACAGTGATGACTTGTTACTCCAGGAGGAGGATAGTATAGACGACAGATATATTGTTAATGCTTTTGGCAAAGGTCTGCGTCTTGGTTCTGCAGATGCCTCTGTTTCTAAGGGAAGGTTCAACAATACTGCCTCAACCTCATCCTCATCCTCAAATTTGACTGCCCAGAGGTAACTTGAAGATTATTTTTCGCAACTCTGGGGAACTCTCCAGTCCTTTCCTTTTAGCATGCATTCGCTTATACCAAACTGGCAATATTCTTCCGTACCAATAATCCGCTTAGATGTAAATGCCAATACATATCCACATATGCAAGGGTTTTACTTGACTCCTAAAATGTGCATGAAGTGGTACTCTTATCATTTTCTTTTTAAAATTTTTGTGATATTTATCAGTGGAATCTTCCATGCTAAACCGATTTGGCACTACAAACCATGTAGCAGCTTGGTTAGTTGAACTTTGTACTTGTTCGACAATACAATTATGGAAATTGCGGGAATTCCCCTGATGGTAATCCTGCACAATACTCTTGGCGTTGCAGCTATGCATCTAATTCATCTCGATAGTATTTAATTGTTATTACAAAAGGTAGTTAGTGTTTGTACGTTGTATGCATGCCCAAAAAATGTGGTAGGTAGTGTTTGTACCAGGAGATATGTCCTGATGCAAATGGTGAATTTAAAAAAAAAAAACTGAATGTTGGTTGGACTATATGCATCTGAAGCAACTAGGAAGGGTGAAACCTATCACATATTACCATTTATAGAGGGATGAGTGGGTTCAGTATCGGTAGAGGGGAAACTGTCCTGTGATATTTCTTTGGATAGATATAATTAGCTAAACGGTTGTTGTTTTAAACTTTTAATTTACTTCAGGAGATATGCTCCCAATCAAGGCTTTTCACAAGCAGAGATTGGCAGCACCCCAACACATGATCCTCATGGCAGGTTTTCCTCGTCTATGCCAATGTCACATTTCGGGTCTCATGTTCCTCAGAACTCTCCAAGCCGTTTAGGACAACAACCTGCACCACGGTTCAATCACGGGAGACCAAATGCTGTTAGGGGTTCTGATTGGAATCACATGACGGCCCAGCTTCCTCCTTACAGCTCCAATTCCGGGGGTCAACCCTCTCCCAGAAGTAGCTCATTCGCCAATGGTGTCCCTTGGGGTACGTTCTCACTACCTAGCATTTTTTTTTCCTTTTCTGAATTTTCATCGTTCTTATGATATGGATTTGACATTATAATTCGTGCTACATTCAAATCAGATCATTCTTATGAGAATCCTTGGAAGTAGTACTGTAGTAGTAGTAGTTGATGTTAGATTGTTTCGGTATCCTTTTGTAGGGCGTAGGGCTAACCATCACGTCGCGAATGTTCCATCGACTTCTCAGGGAAGAATGGACTATGGAAGTATTGCTTAACTTCTCTATGCAATCAACTTCATTTATTTAGTTCTTTCCTCATAGTGTGCAACCCAGTGTGTTGGAAAATTGAAAACAGAACTGTACTTGAGACAAAAGGAAAAACACCCCTGGTCCACATGGCTTGTGGGCTCATGAATTAAGAAAAAAAAAAGTGCTCATTCATTGTGCTTTGACACAAAAAAAAAAAGGTACTGTCATAATTGGTATTGTTTTTGTGTTTCTCTGAATAATGGTTTTGCCTAGCATTGCTTTTAGAGTTGCTGCAATGTGTTATCTTTGTGCCACATTTCCTCTCCTATTCTGTTTAGATTATACAGTTAGCTCTATGAACCATTGGAGTGAAAGCCTTTTAGCTGCAGCTGCCTTCGAAATTCTCGTCGATGGTTCATGTCGATGATGTGATGATCGTCGTAAATCAGATGTTCCTTGTAATATTATCATCCCTATTTTCGTCCCCGCTTTATTTTGTTTCGGTTTTGCAGTTTCATAGAGGGTTAAGGTTTACGTTGTGTATGAGATGAAATCCAGCATGAGAACTCTTCCTTCATGTTCCTTTAGTAGGTGAATGTTACTCGTACTATTGGTATCTTAGACTTTGTTCTTATGGATTTCTTTTTAATTAAAAGTTCTTGCGGATTCATTATACCCTAAATCTTAAATTCTAAACCCTAAAACTATATTTGTTGTTCTTATAGAACTAAACCCTAAATTTTAAACCTTAAACCCTAATTAAAATTCTCTTTGTAGGTATTCCTAGAGTCCATGTTGTTTGCAATGATGCATTTACTCTCTCCATCTCTCTTCCCTAGTTTCTCTCCTAAGCCCTAAGCCTCTCCTTGTTAGTATCCCACTAGATGAGAGTCCATGTTTTTTTTTGGATACGGATGTGATTGTATTACTTCTCAACCAAAAAGAGAGTTTTGTACAACAGACCAACTTTTACAAAACTTAAGGGATTCCCATACACATACGGGCAAAGTGAAACATGAACCTAATTAAGTCGGTACCAATGCTGAAGAAACATGTTCATGCTTGTGTTCGTCGGACTCTGGAGTGAGTAGAGAACGGTTCTCATCGACCTGTCAATTTTACGTCGAAAGTGGTGAACAGAATTCGTTGTCTCCCGGTGGATTCTGCCATTTTGTTCTTTCCAAATTTTATACGCAACAAGCTGCATACATAGCTTCAAGATGAGTTGCAATGTTCGGTGCGAACTTCCTGCCTGCCTTAACCAGCCTTGACAGCTATAGATATCATTGGGTGGGTTCCTCCCAAGTTTTCCTGCGAAATAGGTCCATACTGATGCACTAAAATCACAAGAGAAAAATAAATGTTCATGTGACTCCTCTTGCGGCAGCATAGCACACATCGGTTCGGTCCGTGAATCCCCCACCGAATCATCCTGTCGAACGTCGGTAATCGTCTCTGAAAAATCTGCCAGACTATAAAAGCATGGCGTGGAATACATTTCTTGAACCAAGCCAGATTATGCCATGTTACTGTTGGCGTCGAGCTTTGACAATGTTCCCACGTCTGCTTCGAAGTGAAGCATGGTCGAAAGTCATCGTCTTTGCAACGCCATAGGTAGATAGATATCCGGGCCTCTGTTGGCTCTTGGAGGATCTGTCTGCACTAGAAGGATGTGGAGCTGCTGGATGTTGTCATTTCTAGCACCCGGTAAATGCCAGCATCCTTCTCTTATTGCCTCCACGACCGACGCTTCTTTCTGGATCCGTAATAGTCGAGGGCCCGATGATCCAATGAAGTCAATCAGTGGTCCAACAGGCAGCCATTTGCCGTACCAAAAAGAAGTTGTCTTACCATCACCTAGTTGCACTTTAGTGAAATGTCTCGCTGTATCTTTCATTCGTATCAACTTTTTCAAGTTCCAAGTGCACAGAGCCACCTCCCTCGATTCCCAGTAAGTTCTTCCTTTGAAGACATTGAGCTTCACCCATGCAACCCACAAAGAGCCCGCTTTAGTCAATAGAAGTCTGAACACGACATGACTTTCCTCGATTCTTCGGATCCCAAGTCCTCTTTCCTTCTTCGGTTTGCAGATTGCCGCCCATGAAACCCGATGACTAGGTGCTGTAGCGGCTGAGTGCTGCCAAATAAATCTAGAACAGAGGCTATCTATCTCTTTAAGCACACCTTTCGGCAACACAAAAGTCATACTCCATGCATTCACCATTCCATAAATTACCGAGGTTACTAGCTGGATCTTACCCGCAGCGGAGAGGAATCTGTTTAACCAACTTGCCAGCTTTCCTTTGACCTTTTCCATCAGAGGAGTAAAGTCTGATTTGGCTAGACGAGCAGGACTTAGAGGAACACCAAGGTATCTCACCAGAAGTGAGCCGACAGCAATACCAACCGCAGAGGACAAACTTTCCTTTTCACCCATACTCATGTCCGAGAGGAATAACTCAGACTTCTCCATATTTATGTGCAACCCAGATTTTTCCCCGAATGAGTGTAATACGTTTCTTACCTCCATCAATGATTGCATATCTCCTTTGGAAAAGATCATTATATCATCAGCGAAGGAAAGATGTGTAATCAACGGTTCTTGACATTTGTGATGCGGTTTTAGCCTTCCTTCTTGCGCAGACCGGTTAAGCATGCATGTCAAGATTTCCATTGCCATTATAAACAAGTAGGGAGAAAGTGGATCTCCTTGTCTTAACCCCTTCCTTCCTTTAAAGTACCCTGCTGGTTTACCATTCACCGCAACAGAAAATTTCGGTGTTGTTATACAAACTGAAATCCAATTAACGAACTTCCGAGGTAGATTGCAATGTTGCAATGTTGCATTTACTCTCTCTTCATTGTAATATATATTATAGTTTTGCTGTATTTATATTGAAATTGTACATAATAGTTCATAAATCGATCCAAATGTTTTTGGTTTCTTCAAAGCAACCCATAATATGACTTTGTGAAGGGAAAATATATAAGAAAAAGAATAAATGTGAAAATAATGTCCGCACATGCGCTCATAGACACGTGCGGAGGGTGACACAGCAGATGGAGCAGGAAGTTACACGTGTCATGTGGGTCCCAGATATTGCTTTGCTTACGTGTTTGGTGGGGCGCGGCCAAAATCTCGCCAACGGACTACGGTTTCATATTATTTGTTTATCTTCTCTCTTGTTTTCTTAATGAAAAAAAATGATAAAATGGAATATTCTCTAACGAACAAGATGGAAAACTGAAATGCACAAAAATAATGAAAATTGAATTTTAGTTACTAAATACTACCACAAAATAAAATAAAAAATGAACCAAAATACCCTTTTAATAAAAAAAGATATTTTTTGCTCCAAAAGTGAAAACAACATTAGACTAGTAAAAGTATAAGGAATAAATAAATGAGAATATAATAAATTAAAAAAAAATATTTTAAAAACGTAAAAGCAAAAACTGACAGAGAAGAAGCAAAACGGGAAGCTGAGTACCACAGAAAGATGGACCCAATATCCGTTTCCACCAATCCCATTTCGTCTTCTCATATCTCTTCCCCTTATATCTTCTTCAAATTTCTACATTTTATTCTAATTCACACATTTTCTTTTTCTTTTTCTCAATTCTGATTTTATGTTTTCTTTTTTCTGCATGGCGGTTTGGCTTTCACATATGACATGATCAAGGAAACGGAAAATTTCGGTAAAATAAAAAAAAATTTTGAAGGGAGGAAAAAAGAGAGAAATATTGGCTCCTGTTCTCACCACATATACACACAAACACACACTCTGTCTCTCTGGATTTGGTTCAGGTGAGTTCTTGGCAAGCTTTCTCTTAGATCTGTTTTCTTTTTTCTTTTTTTTTTCTATTCGATGATCTTGATGGGGGCCGAATCTTGTAAACCCGTTTTGGGTTGATTGGGTTTGGTTCGGTCCGTGTTTCTGTGGGATAAAACCAAAGAAACAATCTCGTTGATGTCTTGTCCTTCCTCACCAACACATCTTACAGAAATTAGTGTTTTTTAGTGATGGAATTTGATGGGTTTCGGCTCCGTAGCTGGTTATATCAATTCTGAATTTCGTGGCTTTAATTTTGGCTGTTTCTTATCGTTTTTATGCTGAAAATGAGAAGAAAGATTCGAATTTGGTGGCTTTTTTAAACTGGGTTAGTCATTTGTTGTGTAGTGATGATGACCAAAGGGGTTCATCAACTAGAATTGTGATTATGAACTTAGTCGAGGGTGACCGAAAGTTTTCAGCTTTTGTGATACCCATTAGACAAAATTCCATTTCCATTCTCGATTCAGTGTTGTTTTAGTTGTTGGGGTTTTCATCTAATACCCAGGGTCTGTCTGTTTTCTCTTACTGTTCTATTTCTCAATTTATGGTTGTATCTTCAACTACCATTCAAATTTCCTGTTTCGAATTTGAATAGATTATGCTGCAGCCTATGCTTATAGTTTTCTCAAGGGTGTGGTTGTGAAGTTGGTATTGCAGTTAGACTTAGTCAACAGCCAAAAGTTGCTGATTTGGTTTAGAACAGTGAGGTTTCTCTTTTTGTGATGATTTCCAACTTAAATAGTTTAGATTGTGTTTGCAGAATACCGAGGAAACAAGGAGGATCTCATCAAGCCGTTTGCTGCAAATAGAAAAGTAATCAAGGACATTCTCTATATGAGTTGAGTAAACCTGATTAAGTCAATTGTTCCTCAGTGAGGAAAAGTCATATGATGGCCACGGCTGCTGTTATAGGACTCAGTGCCGGAAAAAGACTGTTGAGTTCATCATTTTGTCACTCAGATGTCACTGAAAAGTTTCTATATGGAAACGATCAGAGTGCAGTGCAGTACCAAATTCCCCACACGAAAACCGTGATAATTTCCAAAAAGCCATCGTCGAACTATAGCCCGAGCCTTCCGTCCTCAACTCACCGCACACAGTCTGCCAAGGCTGTGAAAGAGACTTTGGGTGTGGCTTCTTCCGCTCCTTCCTCTGGTCAACTTTGGTTACAAGGATACAATGATGAGCTGGAAGAGGAAAGTTATGATCTTGATGTTGAGGCTCTTCTATTGCTACAGAAGTCTATGTTAGAGAAACAGTGGAATCTTTCGTTTGAAAAGACGATATCAAGTGATTTGTCCACTAAGAAGACCAGGAAGAAGATCTCGGTTACTTGTTCTGGAATATCAGCACGTCAAAGGAGAATCAATGCTAAGAAGAAGAATGCCATGTCTCAGAACAAAGCAGTTTCACATGTCAGTGCTACAAAGCAGCAAAGAATAATAACCAATTCGGAATTGCTTCGTCAAAATCGTGTGAAGGGTTACGTGAAAGGTGTTATAAGTGATGCGGTCCTTAGCCATGCGGAAGTCGTGTGCCTTTCGAAGAAAATCAAATCTGGGCTTCTTCTAGATGAGCACAAGTCAAGGTAAATCTTATGTCTAGCCATTGCTAAAACTTTAATAGAGTTTATAAGTTCAGCCAGAAAAAGAAAAATCATTCTTTTCACTGACATAATAGTATAGAAAGAAACAAATATGATGGATGGAAAATATATAGATCTGTTCCCTCTAGTAGTACTGAAATCAGAGTTTTCTTATTATTTAATGAACTCAAGGTTGAAGGAAAGATTGGGTTGTGAGCCTTCTGATGACCAACTTGCAATGTCGTTGAAGATCTCTCGGGCTGAACTACAGACACGGTTGATGGAGTGTCATCTGGCTCGGGAGAAATTGGCTATGAGCAATGTCCGGTTGGTCATGTCTATAGCTCAAAGATACGATAACATGGGTGCTGAAATGTCTGATCTTGTTCAGGTGGTTTTTCATCTTTTACACTCGTTAATGAGCATCATAACTTCTCAGAGTTCATATCATCTTTGAGATCTGTCTTATTAGAAAATGTTTGGTTCTGTTATGAAGGGTGGTCTTATCGGACTTTTGCGGGGAATAGAGAAATTTGACTCTTCCAAGGGGTTCAGAATTTCAACTTATGTGTATTGGTGGATACGACAGGTGGGGAAGAATGATTTATCCTTGTTTCGTTATTTCTCTTAGCGTTCATCCTATGTGATGATGGCTAACCTTGGTCATATGTTTCGAATTTCGAAAAGGGTGTTTCGAGAGCGTTAGTGGAAAATTCAAGAACCTTGAGGTTGCCTACTCACCTGCATGAGAGATTAGGCTTAATCCGGAACGCAAAGCTTAGACTGGAAGAGAAAGGAATCACACCTTCTATCGAAGTAAGCAGTTGAAACTCGGAAACATTACTTTTTCTTTTTCTTTTTTAATAATTGTGGCTAGTTCTTGTTTCTTGTGCATGCATCTCTTAATCTTACCATGACTGCTCTTTTCAGAGAATAGCAAAATCTCTGAACATGTCGCAGAAGAAAGTAAAGAATGCGACCGAGGTTAGGATCTATTACGAATTTTCTGCTCGTTTCTCTTTTTATCGTAATTATTCAAAACATTTATCGTTACTCGTGCTCATGGTATTAAGTTCGATGTCTACAGGCAGTGAGTAAAGTATTTTCTCTCGACAGAGATGCATTTCCTTCTTTGAATGGTCTCCCCGGAGAAACTCATCACAGTGTGAGTCACTTCTCTGGTTCTCTTGTTTTAACTTTCGACGTTTCTGCTTAATCTCCCTTTTTTCGGTAGCTGGCACTTTACTTTCGGCTGTTTATTTTTCAATATTTCTAGTACATTGCGGATAATCGCTTGGAGAACAATCCATGGCATGGATATGACGAGTGGGCGTTGAAGGTAAAGGGCAAAAGCCGTCAAATTTAAAGCTTTCACTAACTATTAGTGAATGAACTCCGAATCGCACAGTCAAATATTCAAGATTTCTATGTTTTATTATCTCAGAACGAAGTAAACAAGCTTCTGAACGCAATACTCGGGGATCGGGAGAGAGAGATCGTCCGGCTATACTATGGTCTAGACAGAGAAAGTCTCACATGGGAAGACATAAGTAAACGGTAAGGCTTCAATCTTTAGCTTCTTGTCTAAAAGTAACAGATGCATCAGCTTCTCATTCCCACTTAGGTTCTGGGTAGAAACTGTTAAGTGGTTTTCTTGAACTTCACTTCCATAATCAGTCAAGCTAATCTGCTTCCATAGCAGATGAGATTTAGATTTATCAAATTAAGTTTCTAGGTGAGATGTTTAGAGAGGTTTTTCAAATGTGTATTGTATAGGTAGAGGAGAGAACTCATAAAGAGAGCAAGTCGTTCGAAACACAAAAATCATCATTTTGACCAATCGAATGGTCGTTTTAGATCGGTATCAGAGGTTTTCAACGACATAAATACTGCATTATATGTCAAAATCTGACATGGGTTTCGCCTCGGATCATGGATCTCGGGCCTATCTAACGGTGAAACGTGACGAATGCAGCATTGGGTTATCGAGAGAGAGGGTGAGACAAGTAGGGCTAGTGGCTTTGGAGAAGCTGAAGCATGCAGCGAGGAAGAGAAAAATGGAGGCTATGCTTGTGAAGCAGTGATTTTTTGGTTCTTGTAAAATTTTTCAATCAGAGACAGAAGAAGCTCATATGAATATGTATATACAAGGAAAAAAAAGGGTGAAAGACCTTTTTTGTATTTGTTTCTTTACAGAATCAGCCACTTAGACAATGTGGACACTCTTCTGTAAACTGAGTTGGAGAAACAAATACACACACTGGTGTCATATGCCTTTTCGTCTCTTCACCTTGAGATTTTTTTTGGTATTTATGGAATGTCACTCGTATTTAGACTCCCATTTCTAATATGTAAGTATTCTTTATGCCTACCTTATTAACATTGTATATATCATTCATATATTCGGTATCTCTCCTGGAAATTAACATCGTGTAATAATAGTACGTTGTCAAAATATCCTATGTTATGCCTTGGCATCATCATCATCATCATCAGCTCTTTCCTTTACACCACCAACATCCAAAGACCCAAAGACATAGAAACAGCAACCAAACATTCAAGAAACCGAAGCCTGAAGAACTAAAGACAGAGATGCGGCTTGAAAGACAGAGATGCGGCTTGAAAGATATCAGGACATTAGATTCATTTTCTCGGGAAAAAAAAACAAGAGAGCATGAAAGAATGCACAATGCCTAACTCTTACCTACAATATGTTCGGAAGCTGCGAATCCAATCTCTGCTGCAGCTCTTTAATCTTCAAAGACAGCTCTGCCTTCTGTTCCTTATAGCTGTTAAGTAGATACTCCTTCCCTTCTATCACTTCTTTCAAATCTCCCACTTCCCGTCTCAACATCTCGACCCTTTCCCTGTCCCCTAAGCCCTTCTCTGGTGACTCGTGGTTGAATTCTCCATCCATAAACCCGTTTGTATGACCAAACCCATTAGTGTGTCCCGTGCAATGATCTGCAATTACCTTTCTCAGCCTCTGTAGTTCTCTTTCTGAATCAAATAGATCTCTGTTAGTTGCATCTAGCTGTGCCTGCAGATGGCTAGAGTGCGCCATTTGGGCGTTAAGCGAATTCTGCAACTCCAGAATCTGGTCCTGCATATCCAGAATCATATCATCCCGTCTCTTCAGTTGTTGCCTCAGTTTCTGTATCACTTCTCGCTTGCTGAAGATGTCTGAGCCGGATTCAGATACACTAGGAGAGTCTGAACAGGTTGAATGATGATGATGATTAGATGGCTTTGGGGGCTGTTCAAGGCGATTGGGAGAAGATGCCCACATGACGCCATTCTCTTTGCTGAATTCTTGAGCGGGAACTGTAACCAGAGGAAGGGGAGAAATGGATGCAGAAGCCATTTGCTCCTTTGGCTCATGCTTTCCATGTGCACTCTCAGTTCCTGCATCAAACAACAAAGTATATAGATATATACAAGCCGCGTTATAGAGTGAAGGAACTCAAGCAGTGGACGTCATCTTTAATAGAGGAATATTTTCATACGATACCGTGGAGAAGCAGAATTCACTTCCAGAGATCATATAACAAGATATTATAATAAAAATAAAAAAGGAATGCAAGTCAAGTATCCTGATATCCTAAGCTAAGCTGCAGCAGTTGGATTTCTGCCTAAGATTTCTAATCCAAATGCAACCACATGGATTTCGTTAGAAAGATTTCTGAAAAATGGCAAATGTTGATACCCTCTTCACATCTCACCCCAAGACAACCATGCACTCTTTGCCAGCTCTTTGATTAAAAAAAATACACTAATCATATGTTCTCTAATTGGGTTACAATAAAGATAATTACAGTCTGAAGAAAAGGCACAAAAAATCCAGGCATTTTCTTCAAACTAGAGTTTCTTATTAAAGAATGTGAAACTGATCATAATAACGTTATCAGTTCCAGTATTTTAGGCTCCTATTAAATAATCCAGCATTTCCCTTGAACACAAATACCGCAACCAAGACTAGTCTGTAAAACTCAGCTATAATGTGGCAAAAGATTATGATATCCTACACCTAACACATATTGTTCCTCTAGTAGCTTGAAGGACTACATATGAAACGATCCAAGACTACATACGAATGCCTCACGAACTCACACCTGGGATGCAGTGCAAGTAACAATCATCATTCTGTGAGCAGGAAGACACATTGGCATGCAAGCAGCAGCAAGATGATCTTCTGTCACATGTTCCATTGACTGGATAACAACATTTCAATGAGATGAACATCGAAAGTGGATAATAAGATTATAAGATATGCAAACAGAATGACTGCTTTACTTTGTAGCCAAAGTGAATGCTTTGGCTTGTACCTTTCAATCCACCAGTTGCATTTGCTTGTTGTTTTGAGTCAAGAGACTGTTTTAACTTGTAGCCAAAGCGAATGGACAATGTGCTCAACAGCGCACCGCCTGCAATCAGGATCCAGTTTGGCCCCTCACCCCGAAAATTCTCCACTCTTTGACGCCTGAAAGCCTCATCTCTTCTTCTACTCATTGTAAGAGCAAGTCAAGTGCCTTTCGTCATCCAAACATGATCTAAGTTCACCAGAGGCAATGCAAAATTACATTAGCATCTAAATATCGTAATAAATTAGAACACACCATCAGGAAAACACGAATCTTAATGTCTGCCTCTGCCGATCTATTTTGCATTAAGGGAAATGAGGTGATCCCCAACTGCAGTTTAGAAATCATTAAAAGTTTTACACTGCTAATTTCCAGCTTCTAATACACTAGCAGAACCTCCACAAGAGGCTATAGCCTATCTTTGAAAATTATACAAGTAAATTGGAATTCGGGAATCAAGTGATTAGTTTTAAGTAATTCCGATATATAACAGAGGATAAGACCATTGAATCTGTATTTGAAAAAGGATTAATGTCTCACAAACGCCATCCAAGCATAAAAATCCATATACCAACAACCAAAAGCAAAAACCTTACGGAAGACAGGCCTAGCATATCGACAATAATGCAAACAGCAAATAGACAAGATAAATAACTTTGGTAAGAAAAACAAATGAGGCAATGCATAATCCATTCACTGAACTACATCTTTATCAAATGAAAATCAAAAGTGGATCAATGAAGTAAGAGAGACCAATAAAATTTTTTTGCATGTGGACACAATACAAGAAGGAAAAAGCAAAACAAAGTCCCCTTCTGAAGAGTATACCACCCAAGTGAAACCAACCAACTCGTAATATCATACCTGACAGAATGCAATTATAAACAGAACCGGGTTTGATCAAAGTCACTTAATTTTGTTTGAATTTTGAGATTCTGCGGCAATGGAGCTTTCGGAAAGAGTTCGATACAAACCTGGAAACCCTTTTAACTAAACCAAAACTATCAGTAAGAGAGTAACCCTCATTGAATCAACCCCGATTACGTGAAGAAACTTCGCCATGTCCATGGTTTATGACATGGATTCAGAGTAAGTTTCCCCTCTAGCAACGAAAAAAAGCTAAAACCATAGATACTTGGCCTGAACATGAAGCAATAAAGAATACCCTTCATTCAGAACTTTCGTAAACTTAACACAGGTACAACTAACACTGATCAAACCCTAAAAAACACGAAATGGGCAATCAAAAAAAGGGCCGTGGATGCGAAGGAGAAACCCGAAGAATAATCCAGAACGAAAACGAAGAAGTGCCTCGGAAACATACGATGAGAAACGGACACATAAATCAAACGCGGATTAAGGACAGGATCGAAACACACACCTCATCCAACAGGGAATTAGGCTCGGAGAAATTTTCCACTCACAGAAAACCCTTCCACCCTTAAGCTTTCATCTCTCTCTCTCTCTCCCTCAGAATCTGTGGGCCTGTCGGGAAAATCGAAGGGAATTGACCCGGAAAAAATTTATCGGTCTCTCGAGAGGTGAAGAAGGAAGAAACCCAGAGAGGAGGGAAGGAACGACCGAACGAGACTACGAGAGGGCTTGAGAGAAACGGCGGCTTCAGCCTCTTGCTACTGCCGGAATTCCTCCTCCCATTCCCTCTTTATTTTTTCTTCTGAAAAAAAAAAAATAGGGTCAGTTCGCAAACAAAAACTAAATTTGTAAAATATCTCAATTTTTTTTTTTTTTACATAATATACTTTTTTTTTCTTTTTTCTAAAAACCCAAACTACCATTTAGTATTGATAATCTATCTTTAAAAAATCGGTAAGTTTTGCTATTTGATCTTCTTTTATTTTCCAATATTTTCTCTATCTTTTCTATTTCTTATATAGTTTATCTAATCTATTCAAATACGGTTCTCGTTAATTTTTTTCTGTGATATTCTGATCATTTTTTTGTATGCACATAAGGTGTGTGATGAAATATCTGTACCAGAAAACTGCGGCAGATGACCTGCGATCTGTGAAAAATGACATGCGCTATGCGTTAAATGACCTATGGTCTCTGGCAGATGATTTGCGATCTGCGGCAGGTCATTTGGCCTACAGACCTACGACTATCGCTCTGCGGATCTGCGGACCTGCGGCTATCGCCCTGCGGACCTGCGGCTATCGCCTGGATAACAACCTTTCAATGAGATGAACATCCCAAGTGAATTATAAAACATGCAAGAAGTATGATATCTTTAGTTTGTAACCAAAGCAAGTTATCATTTTTTTGCATACACATAAGGTGTTTGATGAAATGTCTGTACCAGAAAACTGCGGCAAATGACCTACGATCTGTGAAAAATGACATGCGCTATGCGTTAAATGACCTATGGTCTCTGGCAGATGATTTGCGATCTGCGGCAGGTCATTTGGCCTACGCACCTACGGCTATCGCCCTGCTATCGCCCTGCGCACCTGCGGACCTGCGGCTATCGCCCTACGGACCTACAGACCTGCGGTTATCGCTCTGCGCACCTGCGGCTATCGCCCTGCGCACCTGCGGACCTACAGGCTATCGCCCTACACACCTGTGGACCTGCGACTATCGCCCTGCGGATCTGCAGACCTGCGGCTAATGTCCCTCGGGGTCCGTAGGTCTGTAGGGCGATACTATCGCCCTGCAGACCTGCGTGCATGCGGCTATCGCCCTGCGGACCTACGGACCTGCGGCTATCGTCCTGCGGACCTGCTGCTATCGCCCTGCAGATCTGCGGACCTACGGCTATCGCCCTGCGGACCTGCAGCTATCACCCTGCAGACCTGCGACTATGGACTGTGATTTCATTATGACCATATAACTTCGACTACGACTCACTATGATCATATAACTACGACTCGCTACGAATCACTACGACCATATAACTACGACTACGACTCATTATGACCATATAACTACGACTACGACAGATAATTACAACTGTGATTTCATTACGACCATATAACTACGACTACACTCACTACGACCATATAACTATGACTCACTATGACTCACTACGACCATATAACTATGACTATGACTCATTACAACCATATAACTACGATTACGACCAGATAATTACTACCATGATTATGCTACGAATATAATACAAATATGACTAGATAATTAAATATAATTACGATGGTTGAACATAATGCAAATGCGATCAAATAATTAACGGTAACTACGACCATGTCCATTTACCTATTCTCTCGATCCTTTTGTTGGTTGGACCAAATATTCTCGTCTATATCTCTCTACGATAGTCGCAAGTCCGCAGGTCCGTAGGACGATCGCAGGCCAAATGACCTATCGCAGACTGCAGATCATTTGCGGCATATCACAGTCATCTGCCAGAGACCATAGGTCATTTAACGCAGAGCGCATGTCATTTTTCACAGATCGCAGGTCATCTGTCGCAGTTTTCTGGTACAGATATTTCATCAGACACCTTATGTGCATACAAAAAAATGATTAGAATATCACAGAAAAAAACCAACGAGAAAAGTATTTGAATAGATTAGATAAATTATATAAGAAATAGAGAAGATAGAGAAAATATTGGAGAGAAAATAAGATCAAATAACAAAGCGTTCCGATTTCTAAAAGATAGATTATCACAAAAAAAATACTTCCATGAATTTCGTTTTTCTCCACATACATGAAAAACACTTATATGGATTTTTTTTTCTTATATAAGTATAGGAAAACACTTGCATGGGTTTCGTGAAAAATTACTTATAGGTCAGCAAGTCATCAGGTTGCATGTCGCAAGCGATATACCGCATGTCGTAAGTCACATATGATATGTCGCAGGTGACCTGTTGTATGTCGCAGGTGACCTGCTGTAGGCCCAAGTCACATACTGGAACCTGTCGCCGTTTTTTATTTCAGGAATTTCATCAAACACCTTGTATATAGAAAATAAAATGAACATATGAATACTACAGAAAAAGAAATCATGCAGAAGAATATTTAATTCATGAGATAAACTGTAAGAAATAGAGAATATAGAGAAAATAATCGAGAAAACAGAAGGACAAATCTCAAAATGCACTGATTTCTAAAATACAGATTATCACATAATCGTAGAGAGATATAGATGAGAATATTTGGTCTAACCAGCAAAATGATCGAGAGAATAGGTAAATGGACATGGTCGTAGTTACCGTTAATTATTTGGTCGCATTTGCATTATGTTCAACCGTCGTAATTATGTATGTGTATGTGTATATATGTATGTGTATGTAAATTTATATGTGTATATATATGTGTATGAATATGTATTTATGTATGTGTGTATGTATATGTGTATATATATGTATGTGTATGTAAATTTATATGTGTATATATATATGTATGAATGTGTGTTTATGTATGTGTGTGTATATATGTGTGTATGTAAATGTATATGTGTATGTGTATGAATATATGTGTATGTGTATATATATGTATATAAATTATGTGTATATATGTAATGTATGCGTATATGTGTAATGCATGTGTATATGTGAATATATATGTGTGTGTATATATATAATAATATATTATTTTTTATATTTAAAAAAAATAAAAAAGTATTTGCGACAGATTTTTCTGTAGCAAATCCGTCGCAACACGCAGATTTTGTACGTCGCAATTTTGCGACGGATTAACGACCGGCAAACTTTTGCGACAACGATATACGGGCGAAAATTATTCCATCGCTTTCTATCGCAAAATTGTAATTGCGACGGATTTTATTTATATTTGCGACGGATTTTTCCGTCGCAAATTCGGATGTTTCTTGTAGTGGTAGTGAGTTGTAGTCGTAGTTATATGGTCGTAGTGAGTCGTAGTCGTAGTTATATGGTCGTAATGAAATCACAGTCTTAATTATCTAGTCATATCCTAGTTATATGGTCGTAGTGAGTCACAGTCGTAGTTATATAGTCGTAGTGAGTCGTAGTCATAGTTACATGGTCGTAATGAAATCACAGTCGTAATTATCTGGTCGTAGTCGTAGTTATATGGTCGTAGTGAGTCGTAGTCGTAGTTATATGGTCGTAATGAAATCACATTCTTAATTATCTGGTTGTAGTCCTAGTTATATGGTCATAGTGAGTCGCAGTCGTAGTTATATGGTCGTAGTGAGTCGTAATCGTAGTTATATGGTCATAATGAAATCACAGTCGATAGCTGCAAGTACGCAGGGCGATAGCCGCAAGTCCGTAGGTCTGTAGGGCGATAGCCGTATGTCCGTAGGTTCGCAGGGCGATAGCCACATGTCCGCAGGTCCACAGGGCAAATGACCTGCCGCAAACCGCAGATCATTTGCGGTATATCACAGATCATCTGCCATAGACCATAGGTCGTTTAACGTAAAGCGCATGTCATTTTTCACAGATCGCAAGTCATCTGTCGCAGTTTTCTGTTACAGACATTTCATCATACACCTTATATACATGCAAAAAAATTATCAGAATATAACAGAAAAAAATCAAACGAGAAGAGTATTTGAATAGATTAGATAAACTATGTAAGAAATAGAGAAGATAGAAAAAATATTGGAGAAAAAAAAGATCAAATAATAAAACTTACCGATTTTTAAAAGATAAATTATCACACAATCGTAAAGAAATATTGTAAAGGTAGTTTGAGTATTTAGAAAAAAAGTATCTTATGCAAAAGTTGTTTTTTTGTGAAATATTTTACAAATTTCGTTTTTGTTTTGGTACAGTTTGCCAACTGCCCCTACGAATAAATGGAAAAGAATTGAAAGGGATGTTAGGGAGTGGCAAAATTGGAATTCGTCCCCATGTGTTTGGAGTTTTAGTTGATGTGATTAGTAGGGTTTTTTTTTCATGTCTTGTCTTTGTGTATGACTAATTATAATTTGACGATTAATCCATTTTTGAGAAAACCACATCAAATTCCATCTAACTACAACAATTATACTTCTCTTTAAAATATGGTCCTTAATGTTAAACTCAAGAGAAAATCCAAAAAAAAACACTGAACTTTACAATTTTGACAAAAAAACACTGAATTTTTTATTTTATCAAATAAACATTAAACTTTTTAAATTTGACAAAATAAACATTTAACTCTTCTACGATTGTCAAAATAAACAAAACGAATGACGTGATCCAATGAGACGCAAACATATCAAATTATTTTACTTAGTTTTTTTTGACAATCGAAAAAAGTTCATGTATTTTTTTGGATCATTAAAAAATTTCAGTGTTTTTTTGATAATCGCATAAAAATTTATGTATTTTTTGGATCATTTGAAAAGTTCAGTATTTTTTTAGATTCGTTTAAAAAATTTAATGTTTATTTGACAAAAAAAAGTGTTTTTTTGGTCAAAATTATAAAATTCAGTATTTTTTTTTGGGATTTTCCCTAAACTCAATCATCAAAATACATGAATTTTGATTTTAAAATTATAATACTATGGTTATATATATCGGATTCATAAGAAAGATATACATATTTTTTTATACGTAACTTAAAATGGAGTTTTTTTTTATTGTCAATGTAATTCATAGAATATTCGTATATCAATTACTTATAAATTTAAATATTCAAATATTGATATTATTTTTAAAAAGTTAATATAATTAATATACTATTATATGAGAGCTAAAATTCATATATTATTTTGATATTA